GCTCGTCTCTAGGTACGGGTAATCCGGAGTCTCCAATATCTACCTTCGGGTTGAGAAGATTCTTGGAGCACGCCCGGTCGTCGGCGGCAGAGAAGCCTTCTTCGCAGAGCACCAGAGTCAAATCTCGGAGAAGTTCGATTAGTCCGACTTCCATCGTCGGCATCGTGGGTCATTGAGGACCCAAATAAGTCACATCGGCGACCACCGACCATCATCGGCACAGTGGGTCACGGAGGACCCCGAGTCTGTCGCAAGAGCAACAGCCAATGACCGTCAGAAACGTGGGTCGCTGACGGCCAGCTCGCGTCGTACAGCAAGAACACCTACAGCGACAGCAAGGTGGATCGTACGAGGACGCCTTCACCTCAAGCACTGCACATTGCCGGCCAGGTAGGTCGCTGGCGGCACCTAAAGCGCACTCCCGACGAAGGACTTAGCGTTCGGGGCAGAGAAAACCTCCCCGCAGCGCCGTGCGTGCGTCAAAGGGTCCGGAAAGGCCTTCAGGGTGACCTACCGGTTACCAAAAGCATAGCTCCACTCCGCTCGGAAGAATGGGGTAACCCGGCGGCGAGCCGCCTTACAAAGGGCATTTCGCGCCTTTCGCGCGTTGGCGAATCGTTCGCCACGCTCATCGCGCCTAGGCAGCACGAATCCTACCGCGACCGTAGGCAAAGGCCGAGGGACAAGCACTTCGCACGCGCCATTCTGCATAGCGCATTCGTGCTCTCGCGTCAACGTTGAAGGAGGGTCCCCTTCGTGGCATGCAGCACGTGACTATCCCGCGACTATCCCGCGCGTTAATTCTCCACCGTTTTCGGCATACTGAATCGGCGCTCGCTCCTCTACCCTATCTGAGCGTTCTCAACACGTGGTGAAAAATACTTGGTGATAACATTGTTGGACCATATTTTATCAATAGCACTTTGAATGACGACAAATATACTAATTTTTTAACTAAAGAATTACCTAATTTACTGAAAAACGTTTCCTTATCACAAAGAAATCGAATTTTTTTTTCAGCATGAACATGGTTGTCCAGCACACAATGCATTAATAGCCCACCACTAGACCAAATATTTCCGCAACGCTGAATCGGTCATAGTGCAGATATTCGATGGCCTTCGCCGGACCTTACATCGCTAAATTGTTTTTGGGGAATACGGTGAAATTAGAAGTTTACAACGACATGCCCACAATATCAACATAATAGAAGACACAATAAAAGACATGAAAAAACGGATTAGAACCGCATGTGATAATAGCAGTGAAGAAATTATAAGAAGGGACAGAGAATCGTTCATTACTAGCTTACAGAACACACTGACATTCACGATGTCACCCGTTCGTATAAATGCCGTTGAGACGGCCACTTCGACCTCGTCCGCGACTCATCGAATTTCTATTGATCGCTTTTAGTCTTACAAATCGAGGAAATCGCGATTCCTCAATTCGTAAAAATTCTTTGTGACATGCGCTCTTGAGCTGCAACGTCACAATATATATCAGGTCGTCAATGAAATTTGTAGAAAAAAAGGCAAAGTTGGTTGATAACTTACAAATATAAGGAATTATTTTATTTCATCAAAGTATGCACCCATATTGTCTATACATTTTTGTCATTTAAGCGGCAAGTTGTTCAGGCCGGTGGTATAAAACCCTGGCGGACGAGAGTCAATGAATTCCTGGAAGGCCAGTTTTACAGCATTGTCGGAATTAAATTGTTTTCCTATTGAAAAGTTGTCCAAATTGCGGAAGAAGTGGTAATCAGTGGGGACTAGGTCTGGTGAGTATGGAGGATCATGAAGAAGTTTCAACTCCAATTCCTGTATTTTTGCCATAGGCATTTGTGCAGTGTGTGATCTAGCATTATCATATAATAAGATAGGATTCGATCTGTTGACCAATCTAGGCTGTTTTTCTTTAAGTTTTTGCATCATTTCGTCCAGTTGGTTGCAGTATATTTTTGCTGTGATCGATGCGCCAGGTTTCATGAAATCATAATGGATCACATCTGCGCTACACTATCAAACACTCACAATCGGCTTCTTTTCATGGATATTGCGCTTTGGAGTGTGTTTTGATGATTAATCCTTGTCCAACCACTGTGCTGAACGTTTGCAATTGTCATATTGGATCCATTTCTCATCACAAGTAACAATTCGATTAAAAAATGGATCAGATTTGTAAAGAGAAAGCAACATCAAGCAAGCTTACAAACGCGTTTGTTTCTGTTTTTCATTCAGTTCATGTCGAACCCACTTATCCAACTTTTTCAATTTACCGATTTGAGCTAAATAAGTTCATATTGTTTGTTTGCTAACACCAAACTTCAACGATAATTCATAGGCACTCTGAGATGGGTCAGACCGTGATCTTTAGTTCGTCATTATTGACCTTTGATTCTGGGTGACCGCGAGGCTCATTTATGAGGTCAAAGTTATCTGTACGAAATTTGGCGAACCAATTTGATACTGTCTGCTGAGTAGTAACACTACAGCCAAATACACTATTAATGTTTCGCACGGTCTGCGTAGTTCCACGTAAGAACTCATATTTCATAATAATGCGAATTTCCGACTGTTTCATTTTCAACAAAATAAATTTTTAAAAAAAGGTTTTAATATTTTTTAGAGCTTACGAGGGTTGCTACTTATATTTCTGGCCTAATAATAAAAAAACAAATATTTATGATCGAAATTGGTTTTATTGTTTTTCAAAATATTCTCCATGATGATCAATACACTTTTGCATGCGTTTGAACCAATTTTCGAAGCACTTTTTGCACTCCGATTGAAGTAACTGCAAAACGTTTTGAATGCATCAACCGCTTCTTCGGGTGTCGAAAATCGTTGACCACGTAATTTATTTTTGATGTGCGGGAACAAAAAAAGTCATGGGGTGCCAAATCAGAGCTGTACGGCGGATGACCCATCAATTCAATGTTTTGGCCGGTCAAAAATTCCTTTGTTTGACCAGATGTGTGAGAGCTCGCATTGTCATGATGAAAAATGATTCGTCTCTTCTTCTGTTTTTCTCGAATTTCTCCGATGACTTCTGGCAAACAAATGGTCGTGTAGCATTCAGAATTGACCGTCCTACGGTGCTCTAACGCCACTGTCGCCACGTGACCGTAATGCCGAAGAAACAGGCAACCATTTGTTTCGATGTGCTTCTTCCGCGAACAACATTTGTTGGATTTAACTCGTCTTGGAAGACCCATACAGTCGATTGCTGTTATGTTTCGGGCTCATATGCATAGATCCATGATTCGTCACCTGTGTACATGTTATACATAGCCTTTGATGCACCTTGAACGTATTTTTTCAACATTTCCTTGCACCAATCAACACGAGTCTTCTTTTGAGCGTTTGTCAGATTATGCGGGATCCAACGCGAACAAATTTTTTTTACGGACAAATGTTCATGCAATATCTTATTGATGCTTGTCATACTATTGCTCAAAGACGCCTCAATCTCACGGTAAGTCACATGACGATCTTGCTTTATCAGTTCACGCACAGCATCAATATTTTCTGGCACAACAACTGATTTTGGACGACCTTCACGGAATTCGCCCTGGAGCGAACGTCGGCCACGATTGAATTCGTTATACCAGTTTTTTACAGTGCTGTAGGATGGTGCTTTCTCGCTTTATAAAGAATTAACTTCATCGATGCACTCTTGTCTTGATAATCCACGTCGAAAGTTATGAAAAATAATCGCACGAAAATGTTCACGAGTTAATTCCATTTTTTGCCCGACATGAATTTTTCAATTCACTATAAACAACACAAACCGCGCTCAAATGACAATGTGTTCTTATGTTTTTATGTTCAACAATGTCAAGTTTCCAATGACAACGTCAGATGGCGCCTGGCAACACTTACTGCTACGAAGGCCAGAAATATAAACAGCTACCTACATAAAGTGATTTCTTTAAACAGGCAAGATATGTAACTTTCCAACAAAAAAAACAGAACGGTAATATATTAAGCCAATGACAAATAATAAGCTGTTACATTTAGCAATATTATTAACTACAAATTTCATCTTTACTAAACTAATATATATATACATATACAAGGGCGGTCTAACAAGTACGAGGATGGATCAAACATAAATGAGCTTTTTTAAATTGCCCACCCCTCAGCGGCATGAGGAGTCTGCAATGTTTTGGACAGTGGAGGGGGGTCATGTGGAAGGCAATAATAACGTTGGCGTGCCACGTGCTTCTTACTTTCAGCAGCAATCACGATGAGCGAGAAAAAGGTACATCCCGCAGTTGCACAACGTGTTATTATTAAGTTTCTCGTCAACGAAAATATAAATGCTGCTGAAATTCGGCGCCGTTCACTTCCACAGTTCGGGGAAAGAACCCTTTCATGGGCTTGGGTGAAACAGTGGTGTAACGAATTTAAGAAAGAATGGGAGCGTGTTGAAAACATTGCCGCCGTTCCCGCACCAGCATCACAGCGCAGAACACCGAGGCTGTTCGAGAACTCATCGAAGGCGATCGATACTTAACTATTCTTGAAATCTCTCAGGAACTTCAGTTCGAGCTGCCTATCGGTCAAAAAGGCGCGGCCTTTTTCCGATCAGAAGTATGTTGCTTCTCCATGACAACGCCAGACCCCACACCGCAGCAGTAACAACAAAAATTGACTGATATGCACTGGGCGTCCTAGAACATCCACCCTACAGCTCTGACCTGTCACCATGCGACTTCCATATGTTTAGACCACTTAAGGAAGCCCTTGGTGGACAACGCTTCACAACGAACGAGAAGATGCAGCAGTTCGTGTGCAATTAGTTTCATACACGTCCACGAACTTTTTATGATACCGGGATTAAAATATTACCAGATCGTTGGAGGAAGTGTATAGATAAGACAGGAGACTATGTAGAAAAATTTTAAAAAATGTAAATTTTAATTGATTTTGAAAAATATTAAGTTGGGGAAAAAGAAATCCATTATTTTTACGTGAACTTAAAGACTTTATTTAACATGTTTCGGATTGTCTGATTTGGGTTAAATATGCACCGTTTTGTTTTATAATTTTTTGCCATTTTAAAAGTAGCTTCATAATGCCTCTTTCACAGAAGTCTTGGTCCTTATTGGCGAAAAACTCTAGTAATCGATTTTCACAATCTTCTCTTGATGCCAATTTCTTATCACTAAGGAAGTTTTGCAATGCAAGAAAAACATGGTAATCGCTTGGTGCCGGACTATATGGTGGATGCATCAAAACTTCCCAACCAAGCTCCCAGAGATTCTGGCGAGTCACTAGAGACATGTGTGGCCTGGCGTTGTCCTGATGGAACACAACACTTCTCCTGTTGGCCAATTCTGGCCGTTTCTGGTCAATCGCTAGCTTCAAACGGTCCAGTTGTTGACAGTAGAGATCCGAATTTAGTGTTTGGCCATATGGAAGCAACTCATAATAAATGATTCCTTTCCAGTCCCACCAAATGCACAGCAGAACTTACCTGGCCGTTAGTTCTGGTTTGGCCAACGTTTGAGCTGCTTCACCGCGCTTTGACTACGATCGTTTTCGCACAATGTTGTCGTATGTGACCCATTTCTCATCCCCAGTCACCATCCGTTTAAGAAATGGGTCGATTTCATTCCGTTTGCCCAAGGCTTCTCAGATGGAAATTCGATCCATCATGTTTCTTTGTTTTAATTGGTGGGGCACACAAACATTGAGCTTTTTTTTTAATCCAGCTTTGTGCAAATGGTTTAAAACTGTTTTATGGTTGATCTTTAGCTCCTGGGTGATGCTACGACTGCTAACATGCCGGTCGATTATTTCTGTGATTTTATCGACATTTTCGACGACGGGCCTACTTGTGCATCTTTAACATCAAAAATACCTGAACGGAATCGACGAAACCAAAATTGCACGTAATTGGTTGTTACAGTATCGGCACTATAAACACCATTCACAATTACAGCCGCCTGGCTTACATTTTCGCCTTTATCAAAGAAAAACTGTAAAATGTACCGATTTTCTCTTTGTTGACTTCCATTTTTAACACCCTGTAACTCACAACTGAATGGACCAAACAAAAAACAACAAAAGAATTTTTTTAGTGCGAAATTTCACCTTTCCGACAAGCATAAATCTGAAATTGTTTGATCGATACTTTACGAGATATCAATCACTACAGCCATCTACTGAAAACATAATGGATTTCTTTTTCCCCAACCTAATATTAGATGAAGTAAAAAGTTCTGAGCGTTTTCCGCTAGATGTCTTTAGTAAACCATATCTCACGATGTATACATCGCATCGGGTCATACTATACGTCGATTTAAAGGTGACATTACGCTTCAAAAAAAGTTCTGTCACAGTTTTGTGTTCGGTCAAAGCAGTTGTGTGTTACAGCGTTCCAAAATGGAGGTAAAAAAAGAGAAAATTCGATACATTCTTCAGTACCACTACGACCAAGGTGAAAAGGCGGAGCAGGCGGCCAAAAAAATTTGTGCTGTTTATGGACCCAATACAATATCGAATGCAATAGCAAAGCGGGGTTCCAACTATTCCGTTCTGGTAATATGAACGTCGAAGATGAGGCACGCTCTGGTAGGCCAATCGTCGAAAATGTCTATAAAATCATGGAAATCGTCGAGTCGGACCGGCATGTGAGCACTTATTCCATTGCCCAGTAACTGAAAATTAGCCAGAAAACCGTTTGGAACCATTTGAATAAGGCTGGTCTCAAGAAGAAGCTCGATGTATGGGTGCCACACGAATTGACGCAAAAGAACCTTTTGGACCGAATTGATGCCTGCGATTCTTTGCTGAAACGTAACGAAATTGACCCATTTTTGAAGCGAATTGTAACTGGTGATGAAAAATGGGTCACATACGAGAACAACAGCCGAAAAAGATCGTGGTCCAATCGCGTTGAGCCGGCCCAAACGATCGCCAAGCCCGGATTAACGGCCAAGAAGAGTTTGCTGTGTGTTTGGTGGGATTGGAAAGGAATCATCCACTATGTGAGCTGCTTCCATCGGGCCAAACATTCAATTCGGATCTCTATTGTCAACTACTGACCAGATTGAAGCAGGCGATCGACCAGAAGCGGCCAGAATTGGCTAATAGGAAGAGTGTTGTGTTCCATCAAGACAACGCCAGGCCGCACACAACGACGCGCCAGAAGCTCCGAGAGCTTGGATGGGAGGTTCTATTGCATCCACCGTATAGTCTAGACTTGGCACCAAGCGATTATCACCTTTTCAAGCATTTGCAAAATTTTCTTGATGGTACAAAACTGGCCTCAAGAGAGGCTTGTGAAAATGAGCTGGTCAAGTTTTTTACCAATAGGTACGAGGACTTCTTCAATCGCGGAATTATGAAATTGCCTTCAAAATGGACAAAAGTTATCCAACAAAACGGCGCATATTTGATCGAAATCGGATAATCCTAACTATGTTAATTTCATCGTCGAAATAAAGCGAGAAAACCCTCAGAACTTTTACTTCACCTAATATATTGTTTTTTGCAAAAGGCTCGTTCATATTTGATCCACCCTCGTAGTAGAATTTGAAATGAAAACGCAATATTTTGGAAAAATTTCGATTTATTTTTCAACATTATCTCCTTTCACTTCTATACAATTCTTCCAACGGTGCTGTAATTTTTAATGCCCTCTAAAAAGTATGATTGTTCAAACTCTGCAAAATAGGCATCTACCTCAGTGATAACCTCCGAATTCGACGTGAATTTCTTCCCTTAGAGCCACTTTTTCATGTTGGGAAATAGGAAAAAATCACTGGGGGTCAAATCTGGAGAATACGGCGGATGGGTCAGCAGTTCGTATCTCAGTTCGACCAATTTAGCTGTAACGATTGCGGATGCATGCGCTGGTGACTTGTCGTGATGGAACAAAACTTTCTTCTTTGCAAAATGAGGCTGTATCTTTTTCAGTTCAACGTCAAATCGTCCCAACAGATCACTGTAGTATTGTCCCGTGATAGATCTTCCCTTGCCCAAATAATCGATGAGGATTACACCACGGGAATCCCAGAATACCGTAGCCATGACTTTTCCGGCCGTTGAGGCCGTTTATGCCTTCTTCGGAGTTCTTTTGCCAGATAAAGTCCACTGTGTAGACTGCTGCTTAGTCTCTGGTGTATAGTGATAAACCCACGTTTCATTTACAGTCACAAAACGGCGCAAAAACTCCGCCTGATTGCGTTGAAACAGCTCCAAATGTATTTTCGATATGACTACCCGATTTCGTTTTCGGTTCATGGTGAGCAACATATCATGTATGATATGTCCTGTGCGTTCTTTCGAGATCTTTACCATGTCTATTATCTCACGCACCTTCACCCGAGGTTGGCCAATATGATATCGTACACTTTTTCGACAAAATCATCGGTAGTAACCTCTTTTGGCCGCCCGGGGCGGTCATCATCAAAGACAGATGTGCGACCACGACGAAGCTCGGCGTACCATCTAAAAACAGTACATCTCGAAGGAGCAACATCCCCGTAAACGGCTTCCAATTATTCTTGGACTTCTTCACACATTTCCTCATTCAAATAAAGAAAACGAATCACCGAACGATATTACTCTTTTTCCATATTGACGACAATGGCTGAGGCGTTTACTTTAATCGGCTGTCAAAAAAAAACTAATGGACAGATAAGGCTGAAATTTTTATAGGCGTTGTTTGAAAGAGTTACGTTGAAAAGAAAGAGAAAGCGTTGGGCCTATATGATGGTAAAACCGGTTTCGCTGCATTGACGCCACTATGCGTAAATCCTACTACTTATCAGACTGCCCCCGTATATACTACATAGGCTGAAAAGTCCCGGGATTTTTAATGAAAACAAGCGTTTTTTGGGCAAAGTTATATTTATTCCTCAACATAGTTGCCTTCGAGTGCGATACACTTGGTATAGCGATTTTCCAACATTTCGATGCTCTTTCTGTAGTACGAAATGTCCAAGCCTTCGAAATACGCCTCGGTTTCCGCGATGACTTCCTCATTCGATGTGAATCTCTTTCCCTGGAGCCACCGCTTGAGGTTTGGGAACAGATAATAGTCGCTGGGGGCCAAATCTGGAGAATACGGCGGGTGAGCAACCAATTCGAATAGTAATTGGTCCAATTTGGCCATCGCTTTCAAGGACGTGTGTGATGGTGCGTTATCGTAATGGTACAGAACTGTTTTCTTCGCCATATGGGGTCGTTTTTTCTTTATTCCGTCGTTCAGTTTGTCCAATAACGCTGCATAATACTCTCCCGTAACTGTTCTTCCCTTCTGCAGGTAATCGATGAAGATTATGTCATGCGCATTCCAAAAAACGGAGGCCAAAACCTTCCCGGCCGAGCGTTGGTCTTTTGGCCGTTTTGGTCGGCTTTCGTGGCTTTTCAGCCACTCTGCAGACTGCCTATTGGACTCAGGCGTATGGTAATGGATCCACGTTACATCCATCGTCACAAAACGTTGAAAAAAGTCCGTTCAATTACGCTGGAACAACGCCAAACCGGCCGTTGAATCATCAACGCGCTGCTGTTTTTGGTCGACGGTCAGCAAACGCGGCACCTATCGCGCAGATAGCTTTTTCATATCCAAAACATCGTGCAAGATGTATCCCACCCGTTCTTTTGAGATACCAATGGCCTCAGCTAACTCGCGCAACTTCACTTTACGATCACTCAAAACGATTCGATGCACTTGCTTTACGATTTCCGCATTCGTAGCCTTTTTTGGTCTTCCAGAGCGAGGTGCGTCTTCGGTGCTTGTACGACCCATTTTAAATTCACTAAACCATCGATAAACTGTTGTTCTCGAAGGAGCAGGTGGGATAACATTTCTTCAACCATTTCATTGAATGTTCAAGAGTTTTTCCCATCAAAAAACAATGTTTGATCAATATGCGATATTCCTGTTTTTCCATTTTTTTTACGAAGGCGAAAGTAGCAACACTTAAACGACTGTAGCTTGTAAACGAATGAACGAAATGTCATGAAACTTCACACATAAACTAGTGACAGATAAACCTCTCGAAATAAATCATGTTCATTTTCTAGTGGCGCCACCTACTGAAAAATCCCGGGACTTTTCAGCCCATGTAGTATATAGGATGGGGAAAAAAGATCGGTACCCCTAACGAGGAAAATATGTTTTATAAAAAGTGTTTCAAACAAAAGTTGTAAGACATAAAAACATCCATTTACTGATATTATCCATTTGACCTTGGGTGGCGTCGCCAAGGTCAGAACAAGGTGACATTGAATTTTTTTAACGGAACCCCCTAGATTTTATTGCTTATCATTATAACCTGTGACGATGCAAATTTTTGCTCGTCACTCAGGCCGTAGCCTGGCCG